AAATCTATTACATCCTCTTTTTTTCTTTTTTCTTTTCTTTTTTCTTTCTTTTTTTTTTTTTCTTTTTTTTTTTTTTTTTTTGTCTTTCTCCTTTTTTTTCCTTTTTTTTTTTTCCTTTCCTTTTTTTTTTTTTTTTTTTTTTTTTTTAGAATAGGTAATAATAATCGTCAAGCTCAGTATATTGAAGGCAGGTGGGGAGGCAGAGGAAAACCTACTTATGTAAATGGTTGGCAGAATATGGAATCAGGATAGCAAAAAAGTCAAAACTTACTAAGGGCTATAAAAGACTTTTAAGTCATCGAGAGCCATGATCGCTCACATCCTGAATGGACACAGCCATGGTGTACTATACAACAGAAAGCCATGGACACTGCATATATAAGAATAGGTATCCTCAACTTACCTAGTTTACTACTAAAAATGGCTAAAAATTGTGACATTTCCGTCAAGTTCAACCGGTGCTCTTTTACTTATTTTCAGGATTATTTTGATAAAATCAGTTTGTAAACAAAATTTAATATTTCCTCTTTATAAACCAACAATTCTTTCTCTTGTGGGATCATTAGTTTTTATTTGACGTCTGTTCAAATTATGTCACTATTTCAATGACCAATGATTCTTTTCTGCACTTTAAAAGCCGAGGATTTCATTATTGGTATTTTTCAAAATTGTTGAAGTTAGAAAAATAGTTACAAAATGTCTCTATGAACTCTTGAAGTAGGGATGACAAAACAAGTAAAAAAAAAAAAAAAGCCTGTTATTACCCACAATGTAAAAGTATATTCCTCACATTAAAATATATGACGATCAAAATTTATAGGAAATAAACTCTATTTCCAATACAGTTATATACCCACATGCATACCATACATGCCCAAACTTTATTTTCTACCCAATGGCACAATAATTACAAACATGACAAAAAAGATTTCACAATACAACACACAGCATTTAAATTAAAGTTTCTATTGGTTAAAAATTGGCATACCCATGTGAAATATTTTTTCAAGCCTATTTTTTGGAAAAAATGATAAAAAAATGATGATTTTATAAAAACACATAGATTTCAATTTTCAGGAGCAGAAATCTGTCTCTATCACATGCAAACCAAAGAGATGTGGCTACATTGATTTTTGTTATAGCCCCCACCCCAGGACTTGCTGAAAGAAACATGTTAGCGACTTCAAATGAATCCTCTCCAACAAAAACAGCAGGGACTGCCAATGAATTTTTACTGATAAGTCTTTTCTCAATCACAGATTTTTACTTTGGATCAACTACTCAAAAATCTTTTCTGAACTACAGATTTTTTTGTGGCCCAACTACTCAAAGACTTTAACTCAACTATTTTTTTTTTTTTTTTTTAACTTTTTTTGAATTCCTGTACATATGTTTATAAATACAAATTATTTAACAAGTATATTCATATTTTCTTTATTTTCATTTTACTAGTGTCTGAAATTCAGACATTTGGATTCTTAATATGAAGAAACCTGGATGACAGAATTTCCTCTCTGTTCTTGTTCCTTGCAGTCTACCCAAGAAATTCTATAAAAACAACAAAAATCCATCTATTTACTTACAAATATTTTTGACCTGTGCCAAAGTTCAAGTTCCCCACGTTGGATTGGTTTATCTCAATTTTAATTATTTCATTTATTTCAGTGGGGAAATGAGTAATCATTTTGGTTTTTAAAGGGCTTAATCTACATTATATTTCAAATACAAACTCTTAAGCTGCCCTGTCAGTTGAGAGGTCAAGAATACTCCAAATCCCTTTGCAGAGGGGTCATGGTATGAAGTAAATGTGTTGAAAGGTTAGATTTTTTTTTTTTTTTTTTTTTTTTTCTGCAAGGCTGTTAAGTTTTTTTTCTCTGATGTAAAAAGGACATGAGTTCAAATTTCACAGAGAGCTTCTCTTATTTCTGATCTGTATTGTAGACTGTAGATCATTGGTTCCCAAAGAATGCAGCGGAAGAGAATAGCAGGTGAAGCGGAATGATTGAAAGATGATCAAAGATCTAGAAACAGTCTCAAAAAATTTATATGCCAAAAATAAATAAGATTTCAAAACCTAAAATATTATTATGGATTACTTGTAATTGCATGCATGAGTCCCAGTATAAATAGTTATTGACCGATTTTGTCATTGATTTTTTTTTTTTTTTTTTTTACATTATATTAATATTAAATATTAAGAATATAGTAACTTGGGTTTGCAAATTGGAGGAGAGTTATCAATGATAATGTTCTGACTTCAAATCCGCGATTATCTCCCTTTAACCCCCCCTTCTCACTCTCATATTTGAGACACCAGCAAATTTTCATTCCAAAAATGTGTCCCAGAGAAAGTTTTGGAACCACTGCTATAGATTGGTGGCCTGAGTAAAGCTGCAAGGAAAGCAAGTAGAAAAAATTCAGATGAAAGTAAATACTAACCAAAATTTACTAATACTGGTTGACACTGTTTCATCTAATGGGAAAATAAATAAATCTCGTTTTCTAAACCATATGAAAAAATTTGTTCATTTATATGTAAGACTAACTTTTGAGGCAATAACTTTTTTAAACTTTAGCAATTTATAAACAATGTTTTTATTTGTTAACAATGAACACTGATTTTCATTATTAATCAAATTGAAGTGATATTTAAATATCATAATCATATTTAATATAGTTGGTTCTTGGGTATGACCTAAAACTACATTTAACTGTAGAGGCTTTATGAGTGGACGGAATTAGGACACCCCAAACCATTGTCACCTACTCCTTGCTAGTCTTTTGAACAGGAGTTGAGGCTTATCTGTTGTTTCCTGTTTAGGACTGGATTTCGATTCCTTCTAAAGTTTACAAAAATATATACTAATTTTGACACAATTTTAATGTTAAAAAAAAAAACAACTTACTTTCACTACAAAATAATAATACACAAATATAAAATCCCAACCCTACTTCCTTTGGCATTAGATGACTCACTAGATGTTGATATGCCATTAAACAAAGTAACAAACTAAAGTCTGCTTCAACTCTGTACGCCTAATATCTGCACCTGGACTTTGAATTTATTTTATTTTACTTTACTTTATTTTACTTTTCCCCCTCCACCAATAGGAATAGATAGGTTCACACTCCTCTACTGCAGTAGAAGTTTATCCACTATTTCCTGTTTAGGATTGAGTTTCTGGTTCATTAAAAAATCTAGTTCAGTTCTATGCTCCTAACACATATCCTTACTTATTCTAATACTAATCCACACAGAAACCTTCTACTTTGAGTGGCTCTTGGGCCTTGGATTTGGTGAACATTACTTTTTAAAAAAAAAAAAAAAAGGTAATCTTTGGCTAAGATCTAACAACTGTTTTCCCCTCCACCTAACTTATGTATCCCCCCTCCCGCAACAAACATATGAGGAGTCTTTTTCATTTTAGGGGGGGGCTTTTTATTGCTGGGGGTTAGGAGCATTCCATATAAGAATCTTTTCTTATGTAATGTATTGTGGCCAAATGATTCAAACCTCAGCATTTCAACCATGGATTCGAATCACAACATGGTTGTTTGTCAAGGAGGTGTCTTCTTGACATCAGTGCGAGCAGACAATTCCAATTCTGTTTGAAAACCATTGGCAATTCTGATAATGTGAAATTACAAGTCATCATGGCCAAGAGTTTGAATATGCTGTTCAATTGCTGAGCATGTCATTATGAACACTTTTCTTCAGAAACTGTAATTGAGGTCTGCCCGGGATAGCTGCAGTATAAACCACAAGTTAGCTTTGGGGATATTGAAGAAACATGTATGTACTTGAGCAGGTGCTTGCAGTAGGGATTAGCCCAAGTAGATTCCATTGTCTCTTGAGACTGACAGACGCCTACTTTATTAAACTATGAGAGCAGTTAAGCACAGGTGTAACACTATGATCAGAAGCACCACACAAAATCGGATAGAAATGCGACATTTTTATAATCAGATTGATTGATTAGTTTTCTATGGCTTATCAATACTTTGCAGGTTATTTTAAAGCCAAAAAATATTTTTAGATTGTAATCCCCCCCCCAATAATAATGATTTAGTGAATAGCTAGAGTTTAGGAAGAAGAGATGGGACTCGTACCATTCCTAAAGGTATTTGAATATAACGAGCCCAACTGGAATTGGAACTCTGCTTCTAATCAACAATTCCGAGCCATTATCCATTACACTGTGCGAACCTATTTACACACAAACATATACATACAAACACAAAATCACATGTACAATGCCAAATGATCATTGGCTAATAAATCACTAATACATTTTCTACAGGCAATTTACAAATCGCAGTAATGCAACAATTTTGGAATTGCTTTATTTTTAAGTAGTCAGATTTGTGCACTTTTGGGAGAAGTGGCTCGCAGAAGCTTCCTTAAGTCTCCCCAAAGCTCGTTCGCTGATTAATTGATGCCAACCAATCAGATTGTTTGGATGTGAAGAATAATTTTTCCCGTGCAACGAATCGGAGCCTATAGTTGCTTATTTAAGCCAAGATTTTTCTCATATCAATTAGTGAGACCTCAACTGCTAAACTAACCTGACAGTTGGAACTCCCTTTCTAACCACGCGCCACCTTCTCACTCACATGCACACCCACATGCTGATTATAATTTGTACACTTTCACTAAAAACTTCATTTGACACAACAATACTTTCTAACAGTAATATCATACGAACAATCATATCATGAAACACTCATAAACGTTTATCCAGTGAACTTTAAACCAAATAATTATCTCTCACTGAACTCTTAAATTGCAGCAAAGAAAGACAACTCTTGATTAATTCAACCTTTCTTACTTAAATGCATGTTTTCTTTCACATCGTTGTTTGATATTGTACATCTTGTTAATATACATATGTTTTATGTGCAACAATGTCTTGTGGTTATGCTTCTTGCGTGAGTCCTGTTTTCTAATCAAAGTTAAATTAATGTGGTGAAGTACGCCACAACACCACCCTCACATTCAAGCATACAGCACCTGGTATTCCCAAGCAGTCACCCATCTAGGTACTAACCAGTCTCAATGCCGCTTAACTTCATTGATTCTACAGGATGCTGTGTTTCAACATGATGTGGCCTTTTTATAATTGAAGCCATATAAATGCTTAATTTGGTTTCCGGTTTTATGATTGTCTGCTCTTGATTAACTTACATCATTTCCCAGAATCCCTTGTTTAAAAACTGCCTGTTCCAGTTTCTTTAGATATTCTATGGACTCTTCAGTCAGTTAAGTTTATTCATGCATTAAATGAAGCTTAGTTATGTAACAACCTAGTTGACATTTTGGTGTAGGACTGTTTCTTGTGTGTACCTGCTGAAAAATGTTTCAAGTTTTTAAATTATCTATTCGTCCTTTTTTTTTGCTTTGTTTCTGAAAAATAGAGAATTGTTGATTTCTTGCATGTATACAACTCGGAGATAATGCTCTAGGGTGTGTTGTGGTTAAGACATTTAGAATTTCCTTATTAAGAAATGAGACAAATTTGGCAGTTTCATTATTTACAGGTAGAATAGCAGACATGTGAAATTTATGTAATCTATAGTTTGCAGTCAGATCACACTGAAAATATTGGTTCTCATTTGATCACCTAAGTAGAGTTGATAGGGATGAATCAACCATTAAGCAAAATAAGCATGTGATTAGGGGGCATCATGGGAAGGGAGTGTCGCATAAATTGTTTTGATATGTCTGATTGGTTAATAAAGGAATGGGCTGAGGGAGATTGATTCTGATTGGTTAATAAAGGAATGGGCTGAGGGAGATTGATTCTGATTGGTTAATAAAGGAATGGGCTGAGGGAGATTGATTCTGATTGGTTAATAAAGGAATGGGCTGAGGGAGATTGATTCTGATTGGTTAATAAAGGAATGGGCTGAGGGAGATTGATTCTGATTGGTTAATAAAGGAATGAATGGGCTGAGGGAGATTGATTCTGATTGGTTAATAAAGGAATGGGCTGAGGGAGATTGATTCTGATTGGTTAATAAAGGAATGGGCTGAGGGAGATTGATTCTGATTGGTTAATAAAGGAATGGGCTGAGGGAGATTGATTCTGATTGGTTAATAAAGGAATGGGCTGAGGAGATTGATTCTGATTGGTTAATAAAGGAATGGGCTGAGGGAGATTGATTCTGATTGGTTAATAAAGGAATGGGCTGAGGGAGATTGATTCTGATTGGTTAATAAAGGAATGGGCTGAGGGAGATTGATTCTGATTGGTTAATAAAGGAATGGGCTGAGGGAGATTGATTCTGATTGGTTAATAAAGGAATGGGCTGAGGGAGATTGATTCTGATTGGTTAATAAAGGAATGGGCTGAGGGAGAATGAGTTTTGTATTTCCTCAATACATCACATCTCCTTTTGTTAGTATAAGTTAGTATTACTAATTAACTTTATGGGATCCAAATTTGTGAACAATCACGGGAGTTTGTATGGCATCATTCTGTCCATGTTGCTTATGCGATTCTGTAACATGCTGGTTTCTTGATTACACAACCACTTCTGGTCTCAGTTCTGTTAAAATCTGGTTGTGGCCCATTTGACTGTGGCTACTCGGGTGTGATTGGTTCTTTTTTGGCTGGGTTCCCAGGGCAATGGTGTTATTCTGGGTTGAAACTGATTCACCTCTCTTGATGGTTGTATGTACATTTGGTTTCCTCTATATTTATTTCCAGCTGGTGTTTCCACAATATACATTCTCAGCTGATGTCTTGCAGATGTATTGGGGACATCAGAATTTTTTAAGGGTTTAGGGCCCCTATGGGTTTTAATCCAGTGTTAGGCTGGGTTAACTGAGGCGAATGAAGAAAACAGTAACCAGCGAGTTAATTCAAGCTCTCCCAACTGGTATTTCAAACTTGAGTCGTTCCTTCCTTAGTTCTGTCTCCAAATCACACTAACTGCCCGTTCTAGCCGTCAACCGTGAACGTCCCTCGAAGAACTTCGCCGACTTGGAAAAAAAAAATAGTTGTTCATGTACCCATAATCCCTTGGCGTCTTCCTGTGATCCCATAATTCATTGCGTCCATGTCCCATAATGCATTGCGTCCATGTCCCATAATGCATTGCATCGTTATTGGATAAAATGCGATGCCAGTCCCCTCATTCTTTTACATTATCTGGCCGAGGATGGATTCGTCAGAGCGGTAAGTGCTTTTTTCTCCCTCATTTCAACTGCAGTAGCTTTACATGCTAAGCAAATCTGGGCTCTTTTTTTGGCGGGGACAAGGCAAGTCGCGACCAGTTGTGCTTGTCCCAGGTTCTGTCTCATATCCGCCACACTCCCCTGATCTCCTGATCACACAGATGACAGTGAGGATACGGTCTTTTGTTCCGGTGCTCCTTCGAAGGGGATTGGTTGAACTTCTTCATCAGAGGAGCTCTCATTAGACCGTCCCATCTATTGGCAAACTACTGCTATCGGAGTGATTGGTTGTTGAATCCAACTCTATGTATATTGGCTGTTCACTATCCTCCGTGTCTTCTTTGTCAGTTGTGGGATTTGAGCCCAAAAAGGGCGCAGGTCTCTAACATGACGACGAGGCGTTCCATCGACCCGCACTGATTGCTGACTCACCACCTCGGTCACACGTCCGGTTCCAAATTTGGTCGTGCATTTACCACGGAGTCTTAACCCAGACAATGTCCCCTTCCTTGTATTCCCCTTGGTTATTTGTGATTCAGGCGGGGCGTCGGCGTCGATGCCTCTCACCCGGACGTGGTATGTGTGCAGTACATCAGCGGTGCCGTGGAAGGTGAAAGGTTGTCCTTAGGTGTGACGTTATGCCAGTAAACCGCTTCCAAGACTGAACAATTTTTCCTGGCAGCTATGGTTTTGACGCTTCTGTGGTTGCGTTCCACAATGCCATTTCCAGATGGCACATAAAGCGCACCGAACCTCAAATGCACGCCCCAGCTGTTTACAAATTCCCTAAATTGTCTGCAAGTGAACGTGGTGTCATTGTCAGTCAGTATTTCGGTCGGTGGGCCTCGTTAAGTAGAAGACTGTCTCTAGCTGACGAATGACACCAGCAGAGTCTTGCCGTCTCAGTGGCCGCCATACTGCAAAACGGGAGGGACCACAGTCAATGAGCGTGAAAATGGCTAGCATTGCAATGGGTTACGTCCATTGCTAACCTGCTCCAGTTTTTCTCACACTCAAATTTCCTTTCTTCCAATGCACTGGTGCTGGATCGTCGATTGGCAGGCTTCACAGGTTCTAACGACAGATTTTACCAGTTCCTTAGACACCGTTGGATCTACAGTCCTAGCAAAGTACATTGTTCTTTTAACACCTGGGTGCCCACTTTGCTGGTGGATGTGGGTCACCTGGCGTTTGCTCAACTGGCTCGTTGCAGTGACACAACTCACTTGCACCGGTTCTCCTCCTTTCTTGTGCATCTCCAACCAGCGTTGCGGCACTCTGGTGAGGCTGTCAGCGCCGGTTCTGACAAGATTTCACCAACGTCACAGTCATAGTCAGTCGCGTACTCCTCCACCAAAGCTTCGCGGTGTCTCTAAGCGCCGCCTCATCAGCATTTCACCCGCTGCCTTCGTGTTCACGCGCGCGTCCTTCCTGTCAGGGTGTCAGACACCCACCGATGCACACATGCTGAATCGGTGACCACATGCATAACTGGTGCCTGCCACTGCAGGGCAAGATTCATGCCCTTGATCACGCATCAAGCTCAGCAAGATTAATGTGTTTGGCATCATTGGTTGGGCGCAACCAGCAAGCATCTTCCACGACGCTCCCATTCACCTCTAGTGCTACTCCCATGGCCACGGAGCTTGCATCCACCCAAACTGTCATTTCATTGCCGTTCACACACCAGTCTCCGCCCGACAGGATCTGATTCCCGCCTCTGGCCACTGTTTCCTCCAGCATACGTCCAAGAGGGCATCCTTTATCTCGTCGTCCCATCCTTTGGTTAGTGTACTTGCATAACGCTTAATAAATGCAGTTGCCACCCTAAGCCAACCGCACACAGGGAAATGACCCCACAAGTTTCCCGCACAAGGAAAATACGCTTGGCGGGTCACCTTTTGAGCAATTTCTGGAACTTGACCTCCCGCTTCCATCGAAGGGTTGCTTTCTTCCCAGACTTGCAGACCCAGGACCTTAGTTCCGTCTCTCAATCGCTCGGATCTTTACAGACTAAGCCCGTAATCTGCAAAGTGCTGTCTTACGCAGCGCTGCAGAAACTAGGCCTTCATTTATGAAGATATCGTCGGCGTATGCTGACGTGGCACTCTTAATGTCCTGATCCTGGGGCGTTATCATATCGATCACTGACTTCATGACAAGTGGTGCCACATTCAGGCCAAAACCCAAACGCGTAAGGCAAAACCGCTTGCCCTTAATGACCACTGTTTGAAGCGGCCATAGTGATTTGTCAATGTGAATCTGTAGGTATGCATTTCTCAAATCCAACAGCGTCGTCAGCTCCTTGTCGTCGCCATTCTGCGTAATTTCTGCGCACACCTCTCGTCAGCCGTGAATGCGTCTACAAAGCCGTTCAACTCCCGATAGTAAAGTACCGGTCGGACCTTCTGTTTGTGTTCTTATGCGACCGCCATTAAGGGAATTAATCCCTTGGGTGGGCCAAGCTCTTTCTCAGGATATGGCAGTAGCCATCCGTCTCGCTACCCACCGTGCTAGTTCTTCATCGTTATGCATCCCGGACGTGGCCAGGTACTGTGTACTCCTGTACTTTATTGACCAACTTGCTGGGTGAATAACCACTCGCCCACTTCCACAATGCAGTCCACGTTTTTTGTGCTTGGGTTAAACGTCACTCTAAAGTCAGGCTTGTTGATAACAATGGCGGCACATGTGTTCAGGTTTCGAAACGAGCTTAGCCTGATTCGGTCAAGTAAACACCTCCGAGCACTTTGATTGCATCAATCCCGAGAAGAAGATCGAATCCTAGCAACTGCCCTTCCACGACCAGAACCTCAACAATCACGGGCTGAATATGCTCGGCGCCCAACTTAATTTTACCGTATCCACGGCACTTCAGGGTCTTCCGTCGGCAGTCAACACTCCCACCTCTTCCTGCTTCCAGCAGCAACACAGTCTTGCTCACCAGCGTCTGTGAGCATCCCGAATCCACTAGAGCTGTGCACTCTACTCCATCTACAAATACTTGTCGCGGTGGGTAACTTCCGGGTTTTTACTTGCTCGGGGAGAAGGCAGGCGCTGGCGCCTTCTCCCCTTGGGCGTTTCCTGGCATTCTGAGGAAATGTGTCCAATGCCGTTACATCGAAAACACCGCTTATGTGACCAGACCTCTGCGTTCTGTTTGACCTCTCCTGACGTCCTTGTGTACAATTCTTAGCCATATGGTTGGGTCCAGAGCACTTGTAGCAGGTAATCGTTCTGCTTACAGGTTTGGCAGGGGAACCTCAGCTTCTGGTAGCGTTGGCTCTACGGATCGTGGCCAATACCTGGCACCCTTCGTCATCCGTCATAATAGCCCTTGCTCGGGTCAGAATCTGTTCTAGATTCATGTCGTCCATCCTGGAAGAAGCTTTGAGAAGCTGCCTAACATGATGTGGCAGTCCTGACACAAATGCACATGCCATCCACCGATCAGGTAGCGGTTCTCCTACTAGCTGCGCCAAACGATGCATTTCAGCCAGGAATTCATCCACAGTTTCCCCCTGAGGCGAAGAAGCCGTCCCATAAATTGGTCGAGCATTAAATTTGTCAGTCGGCGTATGCAGTCATAAGGGCCCGTTTAATTTGTTCGCGTCTGCCCTCTGCTCTCCACTGAGTTGTCTATATACAGCGAGGGCACCGCCGAAGTTAAGTCGTAAAGGAAAGATCGTTCGATCTTGTCCATGGCACAAAGTTAGCAGACCAATTCCACATTTTCTATCCATTCAACAATGGGCATATCCGTTGGCGCCCGCTGAATTCTGGAATCAAGCGGACGTCAAAGACCTTGCCTTCCATTTTGAAGAATCAATATGCCCGAAATAGCTTGGGCGAATGAAGAAAAACAGTAACCAGCGAGTTAATTCAAGCTCTCCCAACTGGTATTTCAAACTTGAGTCGTTCCTTCCTGAGTTCTGTCTCCAAATCACACTAACTGCCCGTTCTAGCCGTCAACCGTGAACGTCCCTCGAAGAACTTCGCTGACTTGGAAAAAAAAGTAGTTGTTTTTATAGTTGTTCATGTACCCATAATCCCTTGCGTCTTCCTGTGATCCCATAATTCATTGCGTCCATGTCCCATAATGCATTGCATCGTTATTGGATAAAAATGCGATGCCAGTCCCCCCCCTCATTCTTTTACATTATCTGGCCGAGGATGGATTCGTCAGAGCGGTAAGTGCTTTTTCTCTCCCTCATTTCAACTGCAGTAGCTTTACATGCTAAGCAAATACGGGCTCTTTTTTGGCGGGGACAAGGCAAGTCGCGACCAGTTGTGCTTGTCCCAGGTTCTGTCTCATGTCCGCCACATTAACTTACCACTTGAGAACACCAGATACTGTAAGTGACCTACAGTCCAAAATGTTTCAGCTTTAGATAATCTATAAAAGGTTAATAAGCCATAAAAAATACAAGTCAATCAATATCTAATCAAGGATCAAATAAGATTTCTGGTAAGAATTGATTAATAATTTTCTACTTTTCTTTTTAATTCAATTCCCATATTTTTCCCCCTTTTGCTCCTAGGCCACTAGAAGAGCCCAACAAGCGGCAGCAGCCGAAAGACGGCAACAGGAAAATGAATCTCGTGGATTGAAAGATCCAGAAGCTGTCAAACGGAAACTTAAAAAGAAAGAAGAATTTGAAAAATGGGAACAAGAAGCAGAAGCAGCTAGGAAAGGTGGAGATACAGGCCTCAGGGTGAGTTGTTTCAAGACTGTCTTACAGGCTTGAATGCCATTAGTTATTTCTCTATTTTTTTTTCTAATTAGTATGTGACCAAATTTACAAATTAACACGCTAATTCACTAGACTAGTATCTCATGGGAAACCATAATTGTGAGTTCAATCCCTGGGCCAGTTACAGAAGACTTGGTGGAAACGGACAAGCGATAATTGAGCAGTACTAATAATAAGAACTAGATGAGATATCCCTAGAGATGGACAGTGGAAAAAGAATGGTGTATATCTGTAGATTAAATAAAGGGTTCAGTTTAAAACTCCTAGAAGTTTACTCGGATTGACAAGCACCTGAAGAAGTGAGGGCAAATCATCCGAAACATAATAACAACAAAGATAAAGACAAATAGATTTTAATACAGGGTGTGGTAGAAATACCTCCCACATAATGGTAAGACATTAGCTAGATTAAGACACTCTTGCCGCTAATGTCTTACCATTATATCAGAGGTATTTCTGTCACACAAATATTTTTTCTACTTATTTTTTTCTTTTTTTTTCTCTTTTTTTTTTTTTCTCTCTTTTTTTTTTTTCTCTTTTTTTCTTTTTTTCTCTCTCTTTTTCTTTTTTTTCTCTTCCTTTTTCTTTTTTTTTCTCTTTTTCTTTTTTCTCTTCCTTTTTCTTTTTTCTTTTTTTCTCTTCCTTTTTCTTTTTTCTTTTTTTCTCTTCCTTTTTCTTTTTTCTTTTTTTCTCTTCCTTTTTCTTTTTTCTTTTTTTCTCTTCCTTTTTCTTTTTTCTTTTTTCTCTTCCTTTTTCTTTTTTCTTTTTTTCTCTTCCTTTTTCTTTTTTTCTCCTTTTTCTTTTTTCTCTTCCTTTTTCTCTTTTTCTCTTCCTTTTTCTTTCTTTTTCTCTTCCTTTTTCTTTCTTTTTTCTCTTCCTTTTTCTTTCTTTTCCTTTTTCTCTTCCTTTTTCTCTTCCTTTTTCTCTTCCTTTTTCTCTTTCTTTTTTCTTCCTTTTTCTCTTTCTTTTTTCTTCCTTTTCTCTTTTTTCTTCCTTTTCTCTTTCTTTTTTCTTCCTTTTCTCTTTCTTTTTTCTTCCTTTTTCTCTTTCTTTTTTCTTCCTTTTTCTCTTTCTTTTTTCTTCCTTTTTCTCTTTCTTTTTCTTTTTTTTCTCTTTTCTTCTTCCTTTTTCTTCCTTTTTTCTTCTTCTTTCTTCCTTTTTTTCTTCCTTTTCTCTTTCTTTTTTCTTCCTTTTCTCTTCCTTTTTCTTTTCTCTTTTTTTTCTCTTTTTTTTTCTTCCTTTTTCTCTTCCTTTTTTCTTTTTCTCTTTCTTTTTCTCTTTTTTTCTCTTCCTTCTTTCTCTTTTTCTTTTTCTCTTTTTCTTTTTTCTCTTCCTTCTTTCTCTTTTTCTTTTTTCTCTTCCTTCATTCTCTTTTTCTTTTTTCTCTTCCTTCATTCTCTTTTTCTTTTTTCTCTTTTTCTTTTTTCTCTTCCTTCTTTTTCTTTTTTCTCTTCCTTCTTTTTCTTTTTTCTCTTTTTCTTTTTTCTCTTCCTTCTTTTTCTTTTTTCTCTTTTTCTTTTTTCTCTTCCTTCATTCTCTTTTTCTTTTTTCTCTTCTTTCTCTTTTTCTTTTTTCTCTTCTTTCTCTTTTTCTTTTTTCTCTTCTTTCTCTTTTTCTTTTTTCTCTTTTTCTTTTTTCTCTTCCTTCTTTCTCTTTTTCTTTTTTCTCTTCCTTCTTTCTCTTTTTCTTTTTTCTTTTTCTTTTTTCTCTTTTTTTCTCTTTTTCTTTTTTCTTCCTTTTTTCTCTTTTTCTTTTTTCTCTTTTTCTCTTCCTTTTTTCTTTTTTCTTTTTTCTCTTTATTTTTTCTCTTTATTCTCTTTTCTCTTTCTATTTTCTCTTCCTTTTTCTTTTTTTTCTTCCTTTTTGTTCTCTTCCTTTGTTCGTTTTTCTCTTCCTTTTTCTTGTTTCCTTCCTTTTTTTTCTCTTTTTTCTTTCTATTTCCTTTTTTCTCTTCCTTTTTCTTTTTTTCTCTTTGTTCTCTTCCTCTTTCTTTTTTCTCTTTCTCTTTTTCTCTTTCCTTTTACGTTTTTCTCTTCCGTTTTTCTCTTTTTTGTTTTTCTCTTCCTTTTTCTTTTTCTCTTCCTTTTTTCTTTTTTTTCTTTTTTCTTTCCTTTCTCTTTTTTTCTCTTCCTTTTTCTTCTAAGTGGAAACTAATTTCTTTCTAAGGCAATCAAGGAATGAAACTTATTTCATAAATAATATGGAGTAAAATTAGACTCTACATAAATACTTTATTGAAACCTTTTCTTTGCTTGGATTTTTAAAAAAAAGTGCTATAGGCTTTAATAGACAAATGTTTATTTAAACAAATGATTCCCCTCATTGGGTTATGTGTTATGATTTCCCTGGGGGGGGGTGTCCTTCAGGGGAATTATCAGAATTTAATATTACTCATTCCAACACGAGCTGTTAAGTAATGCCAACTCTCAAACTCCAGAAATTCAGACAGAAACACAAATAAGAACTTTCCTGAAATGCTATTGAATTCTGTAAATATATTTTATGACCGCTGTTAAAATGTATGTCTGTTCAATAAGTTACAAGTAGTTATTTTCATTTAAATGAAAAACTTAAAAATTACAGTGCTTTCATTCACCATGTTAAATTTCGCATGCGGCATTGTAATAATCTCGCATGCGATAGAACAACCTCCACGATTGTAAAGGGCTTTCAAAATATAGCCACGTATGGTAAAGGGCTTTCAAAATATAGCCACGTATGGTAAAGTTGCCTAAAGCCGTTAAATCACTGCTCATTATGACTAACCGAGAACGTTCTCGGTCTTGTAACTTAATTCATTCAGTTGAACACTTGATAATGTCGCTCTTATTAATTGAAATTGTAGAGAGTAAACGTATGTAATTAAATTATTGGTATTTATTTTGAATTCTCGTAAATGCAGTCGTCAATTGGCTTTTATGTAATTACGTTTGATCAGTTTACACTAATTTAATAGTACGATTTGTACGAAATCAAGAATTGCCTGAAGGTAAATAATCACGGAGATCGTGTTCGTTTTACGATAGTTATAAAGGGAAATAACTTTTCTTTTATATCTAAATATGAGAGTTGCTTCCCTTTTTGACAAATGATTTTTTTTTTCTTTCCAGTGGACTGTTGACTAATAATATACTCAAGATGTGACGACAGTTTTCCAGCATCTGCAAAATAAACGTCCACAATCTCTGATTCTGGCTATATACTGTTAATACTAATTTATTTTTCTATTTAAAACAGTTGTTGGTTGTGTACTTCTCCATAGCTATAAACTGTGTTCTTTTTTTTCCTTTATACATTATTTTTAAATGTTGTCAGTTATAATTCTTTTTTCTTTTTTAATTTTTACTTTTTTTTTTTTTTTTTTTTTTTTAACCATAAAATGCGTATCCTGATTTTCATTTATTTTCCGAACAAAAGAAAAAAAAGTCGGAATTTTCATTTACTCATCTTTTGTTGTTTGTCTCTCTAAAAATATTCCTTGTTAGAAATTTATTTATATCTAGACGGCTACAGTTTATTGGAGGAAAACAAACGAACAAATGCAGGATATTTCTGTTGAGGCTGTGAACAAATATCAGGAAGAAAAACATGATACTGAATGTAATGAAAATATTCAACAGTCAAGAAGAAAAACCTCAGAAAAGTGATGAGTGTTTATTAAGCACATTCACTAAATTTCTTTCTATTTTTAAACTCAGAAATGTTTCTCTATTTTTCATTATAATCAATTAACATAGAAAAGGTGCATAAATGCCAGTATTTTATTACAAATATTAATTTTTTTATGTGTAATGAAGATTTATATATTCAAAATACCAAATAAAATACTCTTAAATTTAAACTGTCACCCTATTAATCTGACTCCCTTTTATGATATGGCCTCACAGATTTAGCAAATAACTATTTTCATGCACGCATACGTGCATTTCATAATATGCAAGTTTATCTCAGAATGTAAGCTTTGCTTGTCAGAACGTTTATGATAATATATCAGACATTCTGTTTAGTTGGTAGCATTTCAGTCCGTCAAGTGCCATCACGTGATGCACACTTGGGCGATCATGTCTCTTTCGATTCATGACTGACTAGGCAAAACATTTTCCTGCAGTAAGTCGTCATTTATTTCAGCGATAGACTTCTTGCCAACCAAGGGTACAGGACCCAGTCTATCCTGCTATTCAACCCACTGCTGTGGTGGAGGAAAAATAGATGGATTCATGTCTTTCCCAAGAGTATTTGTGCATATTCTCATTCTGAGCCAATATCCATTTCACCAGCCACACATCCTGGTAGAATTTACGGAAGGATAATTTATCTAGAATTTCTTCTCAAATTTATTTAAGAAAAACTTATTGAAAATAAAAAAAGTTTTTTATAAATTGAAGAAAAACACTCAATCAAAATGAAATCAAAGTCTCGATAAATAATTTTTTTAAAAAATAAACAAACTTCAAATATTTTCATTAAATAATTTACTTCGTTAACATCAAGGTGTTTAATTGACAATTGTAGAAAATTAAAAATCCACTTGTTAATAAAGTAATGGAGACTTTATTTTTTTCAAACCAATTCTTTTTTCTCAAACGAGAAAAATATCTATTTTTCTTAACTTTGCAGTTTCCGCTTGAATTTTTCTTTTTAAGTGTTAAATAAAAAATTTTTGGCTTGGAAACCAGGCAAAATACACGTGGAACTTTCTGGAGTCTTTTGCTTTTGTTTCTGTTGAACTATTTTTTTTTAAAATAAATTCCCATATTTAGGTGTTTTAACTGTTCAATTGACCTGTTACTGTTATAGCGTTCAGACATTTTTGTTTCTTGTATTTTTATATGTTGGAATATTTTCATCATTAAAGTTTGTTTAAAGATTCAATGTTACAGTGACAGAGTAACATTAATTTCTTATATAAACAAAATTCATATCTTTGTTAATAAAAAAATTTTTAAAATAGAAATCTTTTTTTTTATTTTATTTTTTCTTTTTTTCTTTATGAGAATTCTTTGTTCTGAATGTGTTGCAATATGATAGCAAAATGTTATCAATGACTCCAGTACAAACATTGGTTTCACTGCCTTCATCCCTGTAAAAATTGTCTTGAATCACTATCTAGTTTTCTGCCAAAGTAAGAAAACTCACAACTCTGAAAATCATACTTATTATAAAACCCAGGTTGTGTGTACGTTTATATATTGGATTGGATTTCCTACATTTTTCAACTGATTTCAACAAAACTTCACAGAACTACATAAAATTACCTTGCGTTCATTCTGACTGCCCCAAAAATTGGAAAAACACAATTGTTTTTGCACAAAATCAATTTGAAAACATGATTAAGAGGCATCGCTATTGCGAGAATGAAAGGGGGACAACTCATATCTTGTTATACTTATAAAACCCAGGTTGTGTGTGTGTGTGTTCATTTATATAAGGGATCGGATTTTCTACATTTTTCAACCGATTTCAACAAAACTTCACTATTTTTTTTTTTTTTTTTTTTTTTTTGCAGGTAGTGTTTCTTATTGTCTTGCACACTTTTTTCTTTATTTTTACATTCAGAATGCTTTAAAAATTCCATTTACAAGACAATTGTTTATAATAAAATTCTATTCAATCGGTAGACTCATAATGATTGAAAACAATGTTTTTGTTTGAGTTTGGATTTGACCAATTCGTAAAAAAAACAAAAAAAAAAAAAAAAACTAATTAAGACATGCGTGTCCATCAACTTTAAACAATAATCTTTGTCAATTTTATTTTTCAGTCTTTATGATGGTCGATACTTGATCTATCTCTTACTGTTACATCCCCGGGCAATGCCGGGCTCTACTGCTAGTATTTTCTAATTCTGCAAACTCTCATGTCCCACATTTCTTCACAAATGCAACCATTTATTTTTAAATAATTGTATTATTAGACTCAGTCATACACCAGACTTTAATGGCAATGTAAAGTCACTATGAAAGAAAGTGAAGAACATTTGAGAAGAGTTCTTTATCCGTTGGTTTTGGAGAATTATCAGGTATTCCTGTGTATAGTCAAATTGACTTAGGACATTTTATGCTGTTTATTATTCAGTGTTGTGCTTTTAGTCTAGAAATATGTAGAACTAAAGTTTATTTCTAAAGGTGAGAAAAAAATCCTATTTGTTGTAGGTGTGAAAAAAAAAGATTTATCTCTGCTCCACAAATAACTTCCTACAAGGTATGATATGCATAGAGTCAGTCCAGGTAAAAAAAAAATGTTAAACTGAAATAAAAAAAAAAAAAAAAAAAATGGTAGAGAGAATAACTCAAACATCAGAAACACCTGTGATTTCAAATTGGAGAACAAAAGCTGAAATTGTGATATTCTTTTGTGGATGCCTAGACAATGAAGATCTAGCAGAGGACAAGCTATGACCTCTATCAAGCAGGTTTGTGACAAGGAACACCAGATCAGATGTGACAGCAATATTCAAAGCATGGGTGGATGGTAGATTTCTATATAAATAAAAGCAAGAGCCAGTGTATGACACTTTTCAACTTTACTCCTAAAGGGCGTAGCCCAACATGCCATTTTGGAATCGGGCTGACTCCATGAGCAAATTAAAAACATTCCAGGCTGGATCTGGATCTGTAATCCTGAAATTTTGGATTGCCATGTTTTCATTATTTTATATATATATATATATATATATATATATATATATATATTTTTTTTTTTTTTTTTTTTGTATGATAATTTTTATAATTTTGGAAATAATTGAAATTAACTGTGAAATCCATTGAAAGTCACCTATGAAATAAAAATAATTGTATGGACAGTAAGGACCTATGTACATCAAATTGCCTTTAAATTAAGTGGCAGCAGAAGATTTATCATTGAACTTTTAAAAGGTAAGCTTAAATATTAATGCAGTATCTCAATGCAGTGATCAATTTTGAGTTCTTCTGTAGTTTATTGTTGCCTATCGCATATGTCAGCAGCTTTCCTCACAAAAAGAAATCTCTGCCAACACAGGACCAATTAAAAGAACCAAGCCTGCAGCAAGGAAAAGGAAGTCCAGTACAAAATAAAGGAGAGCTTCCAATACTGAGACTATATAAAGACTTAGGGACTATCAAACTCGTGAACAAGCTGATGGCCTAATTAAGAGCCGGTAAA